CTTTTTATTCTAACCTTTATAGTTCTTCTGGTAGTGACCCTGACTCTTCTACATCCTAGGCTTTCGGATTCAGATTCTGAATATCTGGCTGAACCAATTACTCTTCAGGAGCTGGAGTTAGCAGCTAAATCCATGAACAAGGCAAAATCCCCAGGCACAGATGGTATTCCAATCGAATTATATACTACATTTTGGTCTGATTTAGGTCCTCTAATGTTGGATATGATACATTTTTCAGTTTCGCAAGGTTCATTTGACTCATCGATTAATATAGCTATTATTTCTCTCCTTTTAAAAAAAGACAAAGATCCGACTTCCTGCTCTAGCTATCGGCCACTTTCTTTGATTGGGACGGATGTTAAATTGTATGCTAAAGTGTTGGACCGACGTTTTGAGAGGTTTATGAATAGATTAGTTCATCATGACCAGACAGGGTTCATTAAGTCTCGTTCTGCCGCGGATAACTTGCGCAGGCTATTTGAGTGAACGCGAGGGAACGCTGGCGCAACCTGCTGCCACTGCTCGCCGGTAAAACTCGTATCTTTTAACTGTTGGACTCATCTTATGGCTTAATAACTTTTTTGGATTTGCCTGCACTACTGTTGTCTGAGCCCACACAGTTAACACACTGTTCTGGTCTGAGCCACATCTTGTGTCTATAGACCATTTAACAAGATGTAAACAACACTGGTCCAGAAGCACTTCCTGTTTCAGTTTTTTAACACTACATAAAAGCTGAGATAAAATACAACCACAACATTTAAAACTGAATCAAAAAGTTAAACAAACATCTTTTAGATGTTTTCTTTACATGTGAAATAAAGAAAACAGTTACAAACTGAAACAGGAAGTGCTTCTGGACCAGTGTTGTTTACATCTTGTGAAATGGTCTATAATGTGGGCCGCTAGGACATACATCTTGTTTGTCTGTGTTTGGCTCTTTTCACTGCCTGCTCACCTGCTAGTGATGGGTTTACTTCAGTTTTCGGCCGCTGACCTGCTCCGGCTGCGCCCTCACCTGCCTGGACCTGCACCTGAGGCTCTCCATCTTCATCCGGACATCGCGTACCAGCCTCGTCCGAGATACATCCACTGAGGGTCCCGCCGGAATTTTCAACACAACAGCTCTTAGCTCTTAGTTATAAAGACTATATGGTCCAGCTCTTGTCGCCCACCACGCAACAGCATTCAGCCGCTCTGCCCCCCATCTCTGGAACTCTTTACCACCTCACATTAGAAACATTGATTCATTCTCTCATTTTAAATCACAACTCAAAACGCATCTGTTTAAAACTGCCTACCACATGTGATTTAAATTTTGCTTTTATCTTGTTTTAATGTTCTATTGTTTTGGCTCTGCTGATTTTAAATGTCTTGCATTTCTGTATAGTGTCCTTGAGTGCCAAGAAAGGCGCCTCAAATAAAATGTATTATTATTATTATTATTATTATTATTATGTCATATTGTTAATTCAGCGAATATGTTGACTTCCCCTTATCTGTGGTTGGTTCTACAACATCTGGGTTTAGGGTCAGGTTTTATAAACATGATTACTGTTTTGTATACCAACCCTGCAGCTGCTGTTCTCACAGGTTCAGTTTGTTCAAATCCATTTTCTATACAGCGAGGTACTCGTCAGGGTACCTCATCATATTTCATTGTTTGCTGATGACATCTTATTGTTCTTGGAGAAACCGTCACTCTCTATCCCCCAGGTGTTGAATTTATTTGACCATTTTGGATCTCTTTCTGGGTTTGAAATTAATTGGAATAAGTCATGTCTGCTCTGCCTCAATTCTAAAATTGACCTCACACCCCTAGCTATATCCATTCCAGTGGTTCAATCCTTTAAGTACCTGGGTATAGATATCTTTCCATCATGATATCTTATCATGATAAAACATGAGTAGTATTTTAGCTAAAATATCTTCAGACTTGGAAAATTGGTCTTGTCTCCCTACTTCTTTTCATGCTCGTATATCTGTAATTAAAATGAATGTTCTTGCACGTATTAATTTTTTTTCATCTATGATTCCCCTTCCTCCACCTGCTGGCTTTTGGATTAAACTTGCTGCATGTGTTTCTCATTATATATGGGATGGGAATCGTCCTCGAATCAAACTTACTACCTTACAGCGTGGCAGATTGCATGGAGGTCTGTCTTTCCCGAACTTTAGACTGTATACTCAAGCCTTTACCCTCCGCCCTTTATCAGTCTGGTTTGACCCTGATGTTTCTGTGTCATGGAGAGCCATTGAGGAATCTATGGTTTATCCCTATGAACTGAAGAATTTGATTTTTTCCGGGGTTCCACTGAGGCAGTGTAAATCTCAGTTTGGTCCTATTGTAACTCATCTTCTCTCTACTTGGAGGGAAGTCGAAAAGCAAACACATCAAGTTACAATCTGGCATAGGCATTCGCCTATTTTCTATAATAATAATCTTCTGTCTGACAAGGTCCCTTTTTTTCAATATCCGCAATGGGAAAAAAAAGTAAACACTTTGGGTGAGATCTATGATGATTTGGGTCTAAAATCATTTCAGAACATAAAGGCTCAATATAACTTAAAAGGTACATCTTTTTATATGTATTTGCGCATAAGATCGGCCCTTTGGGCATATAGGGTGCCTTGGGACTCCCAGTTACCTATTCACCCACTGCGCAAATTAATTCTTCCTTCTGAGAGCTTTCCCTCTTCTGTGTCGGTTATTTATCGGTATCTTCTTGAGCATTCATACAAACCCTTATCTACAACAACTGTTTGGGCCAAGGATCTTAATGAAGATGTGCATGTTATATTTACGGATTAGATATGGAGAATGTTTAAGCTGTTTTCAAAGAACCCCAATCATCAAATGATACACTGGAAATTACTACATAGGATTTACTTGACTCCTGTGAAACATTTTTATATGAATCTATCCTCCTCTCCCAAGTGTAAACTTTGTTCTCAGGGATCTCTTGGCACGTACTTGCACTTCTTTTAGGACTGTCCCTCTCTTTCACCTTTTTGGACCCAGCTTTCACAGGACTTATCATATCTGTTGGACACTAATATTTGTTTGACCCCTCACTACTTTTTTTTTAACGTCTTAAGGGACCTAACTTTATCTTTTCAACAAAGACATCTGCTGTTAGCCGCGCTCACAGCGGCAAAAAAAATGTTAGTTAACCTTTGGAATCCTCCTCACACAATGGACAAACGAACATGGGCAGTGTCTTTGCTGGACATTATATCGATGGAACTCTCAACTTCTCGTATTCATGGATCCAATGTTAAGACCGTGAATTTATGGCAGGCTGCCTTTGATAGTGTGTCAACCTTTCTAACATCTATGTAATGTATTTGTTTTCTTATTTATTTTCTTATTATTTTTTTAAATTATTATTCTGTATTTATTTATTTTTTAATATATAAATCTTGTTTTTGGAAGGCCTACATTCTAGGTTTGTATTTTATTGTTATTTTCTTGAAGTCTACCAGGGGTGGGATGGGGTGGGTTTAGTTCTCGAATTGTATAGGTGCTTTTTGTTTTGTATTCTTGTGTCTCTTGACTTTAAAAAAAGAAAAACTCAATAAACAGTTGTTAACAAAAAATGTCTGAAACCTAAAATAAACAATGTGGTTGAAAACACTCAATAGTAGTGATATATGACAGCACTGAGTGCATCTGTCTCAGTGCCAAGTTTGAATTTAGCAGTTGATGATGTGATGCACTGACCGTTCTAATCACACTGGTGTGATCGTACGCTCCAGGGACCAGCCAAGACTGATCACACCGGTGTGATCGTATGCGTGAAAGGGTTAAAGAATAATCTACAAATTCTGAAGCAGCAAACTTTGAGAAAAACAAAGTTTATGTCACTGCCAATTCTTTAGGCCCAAGCTGTATGTAAAAGTCAAAGTGCAGTTAAAACAAGACTGCTTTTGTCCCAAAAACATGCATGCCAAACAGAAAAATTTATACACATTTCACGAGTTTGCACTTATGCCTGTTTCAGATTACATGATTTTAGCCCATTTTTTTTCTCTTATTTTTTATTTTTAGCCCAATTTTGTCACAATCTGTTTGACGTAGGGTGTCGTGGGGATTCGTAAACGACAACGAGCGTCGGGACGCAAGATTAGATTGTATCATCTCGTATAGTGTGTCATAGTGGGCGACAACCTACGTCTCGTATGCGATGCTTCACGACATCACGACAAAAAGACTAGCATGTTTAATTTTTTTAATGGTTGTCCATGACGGTTCCGTCACATGTATGAGGTTGACCAATAGGAGCACAGAACCTTTTCCGTACACAACTTTCAAAAATGGCGAAACGAAAGAGAGGCAATGGTGCTAACATTAAAACTAAAAGTAAAAATATATAAGAAAACAATATTTTACCTCAAGTTCTCTTTGGAGGATTGACAACCCATACTGTCCGCTTCGAGCAATCTCGAGCGTGTCCATTGTCGGGTTTTCTTTCTTTTTTTTTTCTTTTTATGAACACACACCGCTTCATCCATTGTTTGTTTACGTTCATTTCCGGAAGTCACTCGCTACTAGTTTCGCCTTCTCGATGACATCACGCGCGCCATTAAAGACGGCATGCGATGACTGGTCAGGAAGCAATATGCAGTCTGACATGTGTCTTGTCCACGACACGACAAGATTTTAGGAGTCAAAATCGCATAATCTGACACAGTGACTATCGTAACAGACAAAGAAAATCGTGTAATCTGGACAAGGCATTACATGTAATCAGATATAGTACAAAATTAGTAAGTGAGATGTCCGAAGAGAGGGCTTCCAAGCTCATAATTTGGCTTGAACTAGAGCAACCCCCCCCCCCAGTCCCTAGACCAGATAGGAATAGTTGAGAGTGAGGAGTTGAGTGGAGAAGGGATGCTGGGAAAACTGTTGTAGAACAGAGGTAAGTTGGCTCTAATTATATGCCTCTTCTCGTGTTAAAATTCTGAATGTGCTCCTCTTGAACTTTGTTAATAAAATATCATTTCTTTTGTGATTCTCTTCCCATTAAGGCTTTTTTAGTGTTTCTCTCTGGATGTAAAATGATGATGTAGCACTTTGGGGCAAATATGGACACCAGTAGTCCAAAACTAGAAGCTAAAATGGCAAATATCTCCACAGCTACTGCATATTTCCCAGGAGAGCTAACATATGCTGGAACAAATGCAATCCACACAGCACAGAAGATCAACATGCTGAAAGTTATGAACTTTGCTTCATTAAAATTATCTGGAAGATTTCTCGCCAGGAAGGCTAACAGGAAACTTATTGCTGCCAGTAGTCCAATGTATCCCAGCAGAAGAGAAAAACCAGCCACTGAGCCAATAGCACATTCATATACTATTTTAGAGCGGATATACTGGTTGTTTTTATGAGGTGTTGGAGAGGCAGTTGATAGCCAGACTGCACATATCACAACCTGGAGGGCTGTTAGGACTAGAACTGTGCATCTTTGTTGAACCGCTCCAAACCATTTCATCGCTCCTTTGCCCTCTGGCCGAGATGACTTGAACACAGCTATTACCACCATAGTCTTGACCAGGATGCTGGAGATACACAGGACAAAGCTTATGCCAAACACAGCATGTCTTAATTGACATGTCCATAACTGTGGCTGACCAATGAACAGTAGCACACACAGGAAACTCAGTTTGAGTGACAACAGCAGCAGAAAGCTGAGCTCTGAATTGTTGGCACGTACTATGGGAGTGTTACGGTGATTAGCGAAGATGACCATCACAAGAGCACAGAAGCAGGTGCCAAGCAGAGATGCAGTGGTCAGAGAGATGCCCAGAGGTTCCTCATAAGACAGAAACTCAACTTCTTTGGGGACACACTGATCCTTATCTCTATTGGACCAGAACTCATCTGGACATACTGTGCACTCATTTGCATCTGTGATTAAGAAAATAGAAGGTGAGGGTTTTTAGAGTAACTAACTTTCAAATTATATATAAACAAATTGCCAAATATAATCATCTCACCTGTTGTATTAGAAATCTCTCCATCTCCGCATGGCAGGCAGTCAAAACAGCAGACAGGAAAGCCCTTCCTTGTGGCTCGTCTGGTTCCTGGGGGGCAGCTCTCACTGCAAACAGACCTTGGGGGCTGAAAGTGACATAATCTGTTGTTAGTCATGTGTTTGTCTGTCATCTCTTTTACAGAATGACAAGCTTGGCCTTTCCATTACTTCATTCATTCTTACTTGTCTTTTCAAAGCTTTGACTATTTTTAGGTTATATTTTGTATCTACAAAAGGGGTGACATTCACATGCAATGCTAGTTACCTTTTTTGGTTCAAAGTTCCAATATAATACATCTTCATCTAGTTGGAGCACTATCCCTGTTGCTGCTCCTTCATTTACCACACCAACAGCTTTGACCCTTATTGACCCATCAAAGCTTGGCTGCCAGTTCAGGACATCATATATGGCCAGAGCATCTCCTTTCTTATCAAATGACACATGATCCCCAAAGTCAGTTGTGTAATTCACTTCCTGGAGGTAGTGAACCAGCTGCACAATTTGTAGACAGAACAGGTGTTATATGTTTATTTATTTTTTTATTAATATAGCACATATATTTTGCTTTTCAGTTCTTTTATATTCCTGGAGAGAATCTGCACCATACCTATACATCTTACCTGCCAAGGTTTCAGGTTTGTTTTGTCAGCACATCTGTTCCCACTGAATGGTCCTCTACCCTCCTCACACTGCATTAGATCATGAAGCGCATGTGCCAGGGCATAAACTGCCTTATACACATTATAAGTGGCCCTCAGCTCTGAAACATCTGTGTATGGTGTGTATGTTGTTCTCAGATCCTCCTGTCCTGTACAAATCTTTTTCCCTTGATCTCCATCTCTGTCTTTACTCCCAGTTTCAAAACTGCACCCAAACATTTTCTCCCAGAAGATCCTCAACATATTATTTTTTGGATCATTGCTGGGATGGAGACGTAGCAGAAATTCATGCAGTCCCTGGATCTCTCCACGCCTGATGGCGATCCCCAGAGTGCCTCTTAGAAAGGGTAGTAAACGTGGAGTGTGGTGTACAAGAGAGGTGGCCCAAGCTTCACTTGCAATCCACTGTCTGCCTGTTATGTTCTGCAACACTAAATCATCCAACAAAGGTATCAAAAAGGATGGAGTGGAAAAAACTACCACCACTCTAGCTGTAGAAGCCTGAATCACTGTTGTTATATGCTGAATATCTCTGAGGTTGTTATCATGGGGAAGGATTTCAGAAAAAGCAATACAGCCACCAAACAGCTGCATTTCCTGCTGGAAGAACTGAGCAGCATAGATGCCATAGTCATCATCACTGTAGACAAGACCAACCCAGGTCCATCCAAAAAATTTTAAAATCTGAACCATAGCCTGCACCTGGAAGGCATCACTGGGAATAGTTCTGAAGAAAGAGGGGTACTTTTTTCTGTCACTCAAACAGGAGCAGGTGGCGTAGTGACTAACCTAATTAGAGAAAAAGACAGAATGTAGACAGAAAAATAGACAGAAAAATAGTAACAATTAAAAAAATATCAGTACTTATGAAACATTTTTGTCATACAAAAGCAGACAAGAAATACTTTTTTTATTCAATCTTACTAAAGGTAATCGAAACAGCCCAGTGATACTGGAAATTGCAATGGAAGCAGTTGAACTTGAATCCCCCACGATTCCAATCACTGGTGGTGGGCCAATGCAGTTTAGATTTGAGAAGAACTCCTCTGTCCCACTAACCAGGGATATGGCAGCCCGGAACGCCATTCCTAGCATCACACAGTTGTCATAAACATGGTAACCAAGAGTGATGTTAGGCAGCAGGTTCGGATTCTTATTGATCTCATCTATTGCAAAAGCCATGGTCTGTGCCTGCTGGAAGCTTTCCATATCAAATCTATGAAAAGCAAGAGAATGTTGATATTTAACTATTCTGGAAGGGTATTAGCAGTACAAATAAGAATAAATGAATTATCAAATGCACAATGGCAATTAAAATTGAATTCAAGATGTTTTGTATAAATAAATAAATATTGAGGTATATTTTTCTAGTTTGAATAAATTGTTCTCTTTTTTTCCAGCCTTGTATTGCTGTCCTTATCCACTCTAGACTCACTGCTCACAGTAAGGTGGTTCTGGCTCTGTTCTGAAGCTCAGCTCCGGGAAAACTGTGAGGAAGTCAACCTCGAACAGGCCACCAAATATAACATCTCCATCCTTAAACATTCCATTCAACCTGAAGTGTCCTTGAAGCTGACAGGTTCCTGATCTGAGTACTGAATCTGATAAAATAAAGTTAAAGGACAGATACAGGCAGATGTACAGAGTGAAACTCATCTCTATTTCTGAGCCATTCAACCACTCGGCTCACTAAATTATGATGAAGCTGTGGGTGTTGCTTTAAAAGAGCAGGCGATGTTAAATGGGTGTCTCTGGGAATCAGGATATTACCCTCCTATCACTGTTTTTTTTTTTTTCAAATCTATATTTGGGACTTATTTATTATAGAACCAGTTCAACCAGGGGTGGGGCAGGAGCAATAAATCAGTACTGATGGAATAATGAATACTTTATGCATTCACAGGTATTTGCTGCTCAGCAAGGTTATGAATTATTATTTAGAGATGCTGAGGTAACAAAAAAGTGTTTTATAGCTTAGGAATATGAAATCAATTATATTATACTTTTCCATGTTTCCTTGACTGTGTTTTTCCTTAGAATGTCCTCTAGATGCCAGTCTTGCATGTGAATTTTGCTGAGCAAAAAAAAAGTAAAAAAGAAAAAGTAATAAGACTGCCTCAACAAAATCATTCAGTGACAAAAGCTAATACTAAGGTATAAAGAATTTATCAAACTGTTTGATTTGCATATGCATATTTTACGGTGTCTACTATTTGTTAACTAGTAAAGAACAATATCTTAAGTTATCTAACATGTTTTAACAATAATTTTAAATATTATTAAACACGTCTGTGGAATATGATTCTGAATGAGCCAGAACAGATTGTTTCTGCACAATCACATATTAACGTACAGGTACACTGCTTTGATACTGCACTGTTCATAACCTTTGTCTCATTTCAATTGTTCCAGTTAATCTTTCTGTTGCTTCATTTGATTGCTTTCCTTTCCACCACCGCTCTAACTCGACTGGAAACACATTTCAATGTAGCCTATTCCCAGTGGCGCAAAAAGTGGGTATGCGCTATATGCGGCGCATAGGGGCGCAGCACAATGGGGGGCGCCAAAGCGATGGTAAAAAAAAATATATATATATTGGCTATATTGTATTTCTATATGTAGCTGCCACTGTGCGTTTCTAAATAATTTCTGCATTCCTTCAATGTTATAACAAATTTTAGAGGAGGCCAGGCTAGAGTAGGCGCCCTCATGGAGAAGGGGGGCGGGTAATATCGCGAGCGGGCGGGGGCGCCGTGAGCTCTGAGCGAGCAGGTACGAGTAGTCGAGTTGTCGTCGAAAAAGATGGATAAAACAAAATGCTGTGGGGCTAAAAATAGAAAAAGAAAGAGAGAAAAGGAGATGGCATGTCAATTGATGCGACAGCAGCTAAATAACTGCATGCATTGCTGAAAGCCAACAGGTAGGATTTAAAATGTGACATCCAGGCATGTAGGCTATCTATATCTCTGTGGCCATCGGGTCTACCGCTGGGCCGACATGCTTTTCAGCCAATACATTTCATCCTTTTTTAATTTATTTGTCTTAACGGCCCACAAAACTCATACATCGGCAGCCCATTTGTTTGTTGTTTGTTTTTTGCTTAATTGGCGGCGCTGTGCTGTTGTAATGCATTGGTCAAAAAAAGTCAGCTTTAGTTTTTTTTTCTAAAACACTGGCCCATGAAACATGTCATTATGCGCTTATATCTTTAAAGTACAGAAATTAGTGCAAAACTAATTATGAAAGTTTCCTTTATTTTTCTGTGTTTTGTTTTACAATAGCCTTTATGGCTATTACTATCATGGAATTAATATTATAACTATTATTATGTAGCAGTGTAATGTAGACAGACACTAACTAAAAGAGGTTCAAATTTTTCTTTGTTTAATTTGCACCCTGAATATGGGTTGGAGCTTTTAATTTTGAACTCTCAAAGTGCACCAGACTGCTGAATTTAACATTACAGAATTTTCTTACGGGGGAGCATGCCCCCGAACCCCCCTAGAGAAACAGAGGTCCACCTACCACAGTTTTACCAAAACACTGGTATTGCTGTTCCAATGGAGCTTATAGTTTTCTTAGGGGGGTTCATCAAGGTGTAGTAGCTATAGTTTGTGTTAATAAAGGACAATTTTGCACTTATTTTTTTCTGTTAGCTCTCATTTCTTCCTACTCACTTATTACACAGCACACTTACATTACATTTATTTTTCCTTTTTTTAAAATTAAAATCGCTAAAATTGTTGCTGCATACCCCCCTGAAACTGGGTAGTTCTCTAATTCCCATAGAGTCAGGCAGACTTTTTTTTTTTAAAGCCAGTTATTTCATGAATCCAGGGTAATATGCATCCTGATAAAGTTCCCTTGGCCTTTGGAATTAAAATATCCCTATATCATCACACACCTTCCACCACACCTAATAAAGACCTCACTGCTTAAATAAAGCATACAAAACATCATCTAAAATGATCTATAGGCTATATGATTATAATCAGAGCATGTGCATGTTTGTCAGTGATTTATATTAGGTTATTACAGCATTTAAAGAGCACAGACCTACGCAAAGGAGGTGCATTTGAAACGCCTTAATTTTTGCCGTTTCTGCATCTGAGGCAAACGCATTAACAGACTCTTTGTCAGACTCCGTACAGTTAAAATCCGATTCTGAAACGTTGTCAACCTCAGGCTGAGGTAAATTTATGTAGGCTACTCATTTTCACAAATTAAATTAGAATTACGAGTTTGCTTAATTGGCAGAAGGAAACGCTCCATCTTTCTAAATAATTCTAATACATTGCAATTTATGTGACCTGACATTGGACGTCGCATATGTGTAATGAGTAAAATGTTTGTCTTAAATTATTTTATCATTTATTAATTAGAATACGAAAACTTTGATTTTTATTAGTAAACTGTTTTCTATACAGCCAAAATACAATTGCTTCCAGATATTATTTTTGGGGTTGGGGGTGCTATTGGGGTGCTTTGGTCTTTCTTGGGGGTGCTGAAGCACCTGCTAGCCACCTCCCTAGTGCCGCCTATGCTCCAGACCAACCTTCCGAACATATGACTTACAGAAGGTAAGGTAAGATACTTAACTAAGAACATTTTGGGAAACACGTATTAATGATAAGGTACAGCTTAAGGTGTTACTTAAGAACGACGTAGCGTTAAGGTTTCGGGAAACTCAGCCCAGATGCTTACGACTTGCCTTGGGAGCATTTAGAACTTCACCAGTGCAAAGTTTGTACATTGAAGCCAATGAACCTTCACTTCAAAATAGACGATTAAAATTTCACTGCAATATGCTGTAAAAATAAAGGCAAATAAAACCAATCCAGCCTATTCTACAGTCTTTAACCCACAATTTACTCCTTTGTATGAGAGCAAACCTAAAAGCATTAGATCCTTTGGTATTCCCATTAAACCACATTTGGAGAACTTTAATATAAATTTGAACACTTTAAATCAAATACAATTCAATTCTATATCTCCTTGGAAATTAAAGAAGCCTAATATCAATTTGGATTTGGCTCATCAGAGGAAAGGAGTGACTCATCCAAATGTATATATACAGCAATATATGGACATAAGAAACCAATTCCCTTTTCATATGCCCATATTCACAGATGGTTTAAAAGTGGAAAATAGTGTAATGGCAGCAATGGTGACTGGACATGAATGCTATGGAATCCATATTCCAAAACAATGCTCTATTTTTTCTGCTGAAGCACGTGCTTTACTTTTGGCTTTGAATCATATTAAAAATACACTACAAAAAATACTATAATTTTTACAGACTCATTTTTACAGAATTATATCATTTTAAATCTCGCCTTCAAGCAATGGACACTGTAAAAATTGATCATCCTTTAATGGACTGCAGGGAATACTTTAAGGGATACTGCCCGTATCCCTATTCTGAGAATCCTCTCAGAGAGCTCCTAACTTAACCTAAAAATTCCTTGCCAGGAGTTTTAGCTTAGAAGTGATTCCAGAACATTTTCAGTGAACTCTGAGCAAGGAATGGATGGAAAATCCTATCTTAGTGAGGAGGTGTGGTTGACCCCGTTGCTAGGTATGAGTCGTCATTTCAAAAGCCGTGATTGGTTGATCCTACAAGTTTGATGAAATTGAACTTTTGGTGATAATGAGCAAAGGATGTACCCTCAAATCAATAAACATAATTATACACTCTGCAGACTATAATTGTAAATAATATTTCACATTCAAGAAAATGTCTGGAAAATGAATAGCTTGCTGTGGGGGTTATAGCCTGACATTAGAATCTAAAATTTGTGAAAACTTAACCTCATTACACCCTGTTCAAATAATGATTCGTGTCTTATTTGCTCACATTAATATCCTAGCTGGCAAATTTTGTACTTTCACTCCCATATGGACCCCATTGAAAACAAGATGCCCTATCTCAAGGGAATGTCCTTAATGAAGAGGAAATTGGAACGTTACAACTCAGTGTGGTCTTAACGAGAGTAACACGGCTCAGCTTTTATCAATGTCTGTGATTGCTAGCTGGTCTATTTATGAAGACTTGTTAACAAATATCCTACAAACACAGAAAATGGAGAAAAAAAGGAAAAAAGAAATTTTGTGCAGCTGCTTAGGGGAACTCCTAAGCCACTAAAAGTCATCTTCCCTGCTCTTAGCAGATCTCGCCTTAGGAGCCCTTTTAAGCGGTAGGAATCTTGAGGAATAGCTTTTATATTAACTGGGATTTTCGTGTCACTTTTAGGGGAAATTCTAAGAAAACGTCATGACTCTGAGAATTCTCTTAGAATTTGGCCGCTAGGAGCCACTTTTTGCACAAAAATTCAAATGCAACCTCGGAATATCTGCCGCTCAGCAGTGTCCTGAGAAAGAAAATGCGATAAAGAATTGTCGATACCAACTTCTGTTCAGCAGTCTTGATACCTGTATGAGTGGCAAGACATGTTAGCCACGGAGTTGTACAGTATAGTACCAACCTGCTAGGAATAGGGATGGGTATCGTTAAGGTTTTATCGGTATTACTACTCTTACCGATACCGCTTATCGGTCCGGTACTTTAACGGTATTCTTATCGGTTCTTTTTGGTGTTTTTTATTATTAATTTATTTTAAGAATTAAAAACATAATTAAACTTTATATTTTGAAAT